CTGTTTTATTCAGCATACAGACTGAAATATGGTTGCACAGAAGGTTTCTGGTGGGTGGAAAAAAGTGAGAAAGTGGCAATGACATAGCGGCGGAGATGAGGTAATAAGGACGCACTGGGAAAATCGGGGGACTGGGTAAACCAGTGGGACATGCTGCATTGGGAGCACTGAGGAAGGGGAGTTACATATACCAGTCTCACCCCATTTACCCATAAGGTGACACTCTTGAGCTCCTAATTTTATAACCAGTCCAGAATAATTCAGCAAAATTTCTGGAAAGTTATGTTTGTTTGTTTGTTTGAGATTCAAAATAAAACGCATTTTCCATTTCATGTCTATTCCTACTGCAAACTAATGTTTCAGTAATCAAATTTGCACTAATAAGTATACAAGCAGTTGCTAAGGTTATAGTATATAGCGTAACTATGGAATTTACTGCCATAAGCTGTTGTTATTATTTAATACCACTTCTTATACCAAAGCAGCTCAAAGTGGTTCTAGTGACGACCACCAGTTTGCATAGTTTTAAAAAGAGGGGGTTAACATATTTGTGGACATACAGCTAACATTAGGGGCTGCTGGTCATTGTGGCTAAGATGCCTTAAGGATCATAATCAGTAAGACTTTCAGTGACAGTTGCTGAAAAATACAGCAGTTGTGGGCTTTCCAGGAGCATATTGATGAGCACTATTGGAAATGAAATGCCAGAATTATTTTTGATATGATCTAAAAAGCTCTTTTTATGTTTGTCCTTGGGCCTGTTCAGATGTTAGCCTAATTAATACTTCAGTTGCCTCAGCTTAGAGGAAATGTGTATAATACATCCAACTTCCTTTTATCTTTAGGAATATGAATTACAATGTTCATAGTTATTTGAAAAATTCATTTGACCCTTAACAGAATAGGTAGAAATAGCAGAAAACTGTTTTTGAGACAGAAAAACTCCTTCAGTTACAGCTTACGTATTTTCAGAAAAGAAATTAAAAGCGTGCACCTAATTTCTTGTGATTGTGCTGTAACTGACATTTCTGATGTTTTGATTTCAGATAAAAAGGATGATAAAAGAAGGCATTCAAGATCCAGATCACGTTCAAGGAGGAGGAGAACACCTTCTTCTTCCAGACATAGGTAAGGGTTCATAAAATGGGGCCCCTAAGTGTTTACCAAGTTTTAAGTTTGTAAGATAAGACAGTAGTTATTATATTACATGATAATAGAAAGCAGTGCACAGTAAAATCTTAAATGAGTTGACTGAGAAATAAATTGTATTAAATAAATTGATTTAGGGCTTATTTTTAGATAACTGTGTGGGTAGGAATATAGCCTTAGTGTTTTTGAAATTTGGGTAAGAGAATGCATCCATTTTTCACTAGATAATTTGTTGGATAATACTTTCAAATCATTTCTGAAACTCTGATTGTACTTTTAATGTAAATAAGCTGAATATGAAATCATTAGAATGGGTATAGATAGTATTGCACAGGAAAGGGGGAATCCCAGTGGGTGGCTGGTTCCATTATTGAGAAACAATTTTTCTTGCTTTAAAATGTATTAGGTTCCTTGTGTTTCATGTCATTCAAAATGTATTAAGTTCCTGTTCTTTTGTCTTTATTATTGAGAGGATCCTAATCAGTTATTTAAGATCCAGATCAAACATACAAACATTTCCATTTCCATATATTGTATTTCCACTAGCAGTTAGATTATCTCAGGCAGTATAATATATAGTCCGCCAGCCCTTCATCAACAGTGCCTAATAGTGAAATTTTATCTTTTCCCCATGCAAAGAAACCCTCAGTTTGTCAGATTTCAAGAAAGCGGGTACAGTTTGTTTATATTCTGAAGACATTTAATTCTGTGCATGGGGAAGAGTAAATTCCCATACTGTATTTAATAGATGTGTATCTCTAGTCCATATTTGCTCATTCACTAAGCTTCATTGCATTTGATCGTTCATACAGTTCATACCTTTAGTGTGGTCTGATACATTATCTTTGATCTGATTAATGGTTTGCTTAATAGACGGTCACGAAGCCGATCAAGGAGACGGTCACATTCAAAGTCAAGAAGCAGAAGACGATCTAAAAGTCCTCGACGGCGGCGATCTCACTCCAGAGAACGTACTAGGAGATCTAGGAGCACTTCCAAATCCAGGTACTAGAAAATTTCATATAATTCTGAATTCTGTTTTGTGTTGGAGGAAGTTATTCTGTTAGGTATAAAAATATTGGAAACGTGGTTTGTAGTCGGTGTTGCTTCTTGCCTAATGGAAAACTCTTTGATCCAGCAAAAAGCTCCATGTATGGAACGGGGAGGAGACAACTTTCGCCAGTTCCCCCACACTCTGCAGTGTCCAGGGGCAACCCTCAAGACAATTTTAAAGATTACTCCAAACGTGTTAAAGAGATCAGTGGTAGAAAGGGACAGGCAAACTTTTCTTCTCGCCTGATGCTGCTACCGGAAGCTTCTGCTGGATCAAATAATATTGGCAGTAAATCCTACCTTGTAATCAGGATGGATGGATAAATAGATAAATATTGGGAGAATACATGAAACAAAAAAGGCTCATCCTTCTTCATTTTGGAAGACAGTGAAAACAACTTATCAGGTATGCTTTTTAATCTAAAACTGGCATTTTTTAGAGACAAAAAGAAAGAAGAAAAGGAGAAGAAACGGTCTAAAACTCCACCCAAAAGCTACAGCACGGCCAGGCGATCCAGAAGCACAAGCAGGTTTGATATTTGGTGTAATTCTGTGTTATTCTTGAAGGCTGCCCAGATGAGTTACTATTCTGACGTATAGAGAATCTTAACTGTTTGAATGAGAGTGCTTTCATACTACACAAAAAGCATTTCGATGAATTGTACTGCTTTAGATCCTGAACACTGAGATAAAATTCTTGACATTATCTGTCAATGTTTCTGTCTTGGAGGGTGAGTGAACCAGCATGTAGAGGTCATTTATTGGTTGGAAGTAAATCCATACATTGTAGATGTCTTGCATTTGTGCATGGTTGTTGTGCAAAATATGAACATTACTCCTTATGCAAGGCCTCGTCCTTTAATTTTTCAGGCTAAACAAAATGTGGGTTGCTAGAAGTAGGGGTCTTGTTCCGTGCTTGCAAATCTTAGGACAGTATATGCAGCAGGTAATTACTAATTGAAAATTGAGGGTATATGCATTCTGCATCAGAAACATTGTTTTGCAAGGTTTATGCTACCAGCAAAACCAGTGCCAGCTTTGTGTCTTGCTCTTGACTTTTAGTTATCATCCCTGACCTTTCACTAGACTAGCTGGGATCACTGGGAGTTAAAGTCCAAAACATGGGCTCAGAAAGTCTGATTTAATTTAACCTTCTATTTTGTATTTATAGTTTTGTCTGCTACAAAGAAGTGCTCAAGCCATTAAAATATTTTTTCTTGTTTAAGTATACTTTGGAGATTAAATACATGTTTAGGGATGTTAGTAAACACAAGGAAAAGGTTGATTTGGAGACACTCTCATTACAGGGAAAGACGCCGCAGAAGAAGCAGGAGTGGCTCCAGATCACCTAAAAAGCCTAGGTCACCTAAGAGAAAGGTGTCTAGATCCCCTTCACCAAAAAGGTTTGTCTGTTTAATTTACTGACTTGATAATTTTTTCTTTTGCAGTTCTCCTGTTCTTGTAGGAAATGCCGTAGATCTTGTTCAGGCAGTATTTGTCAATGTGGTTAAATTAACAGTGATTGAGTAACCATTCATTCTAGCAATAATTACTGGCATTAGGATCTTTCTTTGCTTGTGGGAATGTGAAGTAATTTTGAAGGTTTTCAGTAGATTGACATATATCAATAAACATGTATAATTTAATTATTTGTAAATAGTAACACAAATTCATTTCTCATATCAGTAAACAGTTTTCATTACAGAAATTTGTGTGCAACTTGCCCAAAGACACATTTTACTTAAAACATTTCAGTAATCCTGTGAAATGCTTGTATTCTCATTCTCAAGTGTTTTTTTCACCTCAGACATAAAAAGGAGAAGAAAAAAGATAAAGATAAAGAGAGAAGCAGGGATGAACGTGAAAGGTCAACAAGTAAAAAGAAAAAAAGCAAAGACAAAGAGAAAGATCGAGAGAGAAAGTCAGAAAGTGACAAAGATGTCAAAGTATGCTTAAATATATTTCTCCCTACTTAATTTGAAACCCAGAGACCTTTGAAACATGTCTTATGTGGTTTATTTTCTGTTTTGTCTTGGCAAAGCAGGTCACAAGAGATTATGATGAAGAAGAACAAGGCTATGATAGTGAAAAAGAGAAAAAGGAAGAAAAAGCTGCCGATTCCACTTCCCCAAAGCTTAAAGAGTCACCGGAGAAAGGGGGTGGTGAGGCAAGGGAGTCCAAAGTCAATGGAGATGATCATCATGAAGAGGATATGGATATGAGCGACTGAATATTGCCTTTGCAGTGAAAACAGTTGGCCACATGCATCAGTGTCATTCCTGTGTGATTCCTTTATGCTGTACTTGTTTAACCTTCGAAACTAGATGTATACAGCTGTAACTATAAATGGTTGTAAAGCTCCTAATATTAAATAATTACATCAACAGTTTTAGAGAAAGTGATATCTGGGTTTCCATTCTTGTTATTGGCTAAATTGAACTGAGTAGCCCAGCAGTCATTACTAGCTTGGTGCTGCTTTTTTCCTTTTTGAGCAAAAAGCTGCATGCATCTTTCACAGGCATGGACTGTTTGTGTTGTATGATCTTTTTAGTAAACCAGCTCACCTACAATAGTGTTTCTAGAGTTTGATTATTTACAATAATAGAGCAAAATAGGGAATGAACTGGCTGCATGTTAACTGTGGCAAGAACATCCTCATCTCCTACAACATGGTGGATCTACTAAGGATCTTCAGTGTAGAGAAAAAAACTAACATTAGCTTCATCTGGAAAGAAATCTTCTGATAGAGGTAGATAATATTTCTAGCCCTGTGGCTGAATCTTTTTGTTGTGGATTTGTTTGGCTTTGACAAGGTTGAAATGCATTAGTCTTTTGATGCCCAGTGTAAGGTAAACTTTGAGTCTCAATCCTTCTCAGGTGGGGTATTTGATTTTTGACAACTTGGACTTCTTGAGGTAATAAAGAACATTTCTGCAGATGAGACAGAGAGTTAATCTTGTGTAGTTTTTTAGAAGCTGCATTTCATTTTGAGTATTAAAACCCTGCAAAAAAAAAAGGGTAGTGCATTTTAAATGGAATTTCATAATGATTTTAAAACAAGTCTACTTGATAATGTATTTGATCTCAAGTTGTATAAACTAATGCATTTGTGTTGCAGTCACTGAAGTAGTAACCTTTGACACAGTAATTTTATGTTATGCAAAGTATATGGGCAATCTGTTCTTTTAGTTCTGGAAGTTTTGGGGGCATATACTTTTGTGCAGGTAAAAAGCAAAAGTAGGCTACAGTCTGTGCCATGTTTATGTACAGTTTCTGAAATTGTTTTACAAGACTTTGATAATAAAAACCGTCACTGAAGTAGTAACCTTTGACACAGTAATTTTATGTTATGCAAAGTATATGGGCAATCTGTTCTTTTAGTTCTGGAAGTTTTGGGGGCATATACTTTTGTGCAGGTAAAAAGCAAAAGTAGGCTACAGTCTGTGCCATGTTTATGTACAGTTTCTGAAATTGTTTTACAAGACTTTGATAATAAAAACCCATAAATATACACCTTGATTTGTACTAAAGTGTGTGTGTATCAGTGTTACTGATTTGTATGAAGCTACCTCACCTTTTTTCATTTATATTTTCATTTAGGATCATTGTTTAAATCTGTCTAGTTACCACAGAAATGTCCAGTATGTTGATAATTTGTTTCTAAGTATGGTTTTCTCCTGTATATTGGAAATCTGACAACCACCACCACTCCCCCCCCCCAAAAAAGAGGGGCAGGCCTTCAAAAGAGAAAATATTCCATATATTTTGAATATTTAGTATCATTGGACAAACATATTGCTTGGTGTTTGTTGTTAGAAGTTTGCAAGAACAGAATTACATCTGAATTCTTTTTGGTTCAGAATAATAATCTATTAAAATCCTCCAATTTGTTCCAGTCACCAAAGAAAAACCATTGCAAATTAGAATGGGTAGCTATATTATCTGCTGGATTAAAAAAAATGAGACTGAAATAATAGATTGAAATAGTATTTTCTACAGTTGTTTGACAGTGAAAATAAAATTTTTAGAATTTATAATTTTAGTAATAAGCATTTCCTAAATATATCAAAGTATATTAAAAATGTTACCCAGCCTGTTTTCTCTGAAAAACAAGATGAATTTTTACAGAAAAGGAAAATGAAACTCTTGAGATAATTTTGTTGATTATATCTGTAGAAGTGTATTTGTAGATGTCTCAGTTAATCTTTGCAGTTTCTTCTCACTAAATTTCAAATTATTAAGTATAGTAAATGCTGAAGCTGCTCTCAATAAATTGGGACTCCCCCATATGGCATTCTTCTCTCTTTAAAGAAGATCCTGCATTTAACATGTCTTTGTATTTGAATGTTTTGTTTAAAAAAAATGAGTAAATCAGGTTGGCCGATTTATTTTAAATATTTATATACATCCTATGTAGTGCATTGCTCAGTTTCATGCTCATGAATGAATAAGCATGAAACTGAGCAAACTCAGGGAGGCAGTGAAGGACAGGAAGGCCTGGCGCGATATGGTTCATGGGGTCACAAAGAGTCAGACATGACTTAACGACTGAACAACAAATGTAGTGCATGTCTAGAGAGAAGTACAATTCTGAGTTCCTTTTAAAAGGAAGTTTTTCATAGTGCAAACAGCACTAAACATTTAAGAGATGCTTCTATAATTGAGGCCTGTGATAAACAGCTTTTGTTACGGCACAGTTGTCCTCCCTAAAAAATCATAAAGTGATCATATGCTTAGAGGACTGAACAGATGGAATTTCAACTTTACCACCAACTTTACAGCTGATGATGAAGATTAAAGTTTATAATTCCACCTAGAATGGATGGATTTGACTACTAGATAATTTCTGATTCACTGACAAGACTCAGGACAATAGAAATGGCACAGCATTTTTGTGCAAAGCAAAAGTCAGTTTCCTCAAATAGGCTGGCTTTACTTTTAACACATTTTTAAAATCCTCAAGAGGAGGGGAAAAAAATGAAGATGCTTCCAAACAGCTATGAGGCCCATATTATCTTTCTCCCATCTTCAACCCTACGTTGAACATAGCTGAAAACCAGCATCAGGCAAGAAGGTAATGAATAATTAGCTAGACTTACTAGGTTTTATTTGGAGCTCTTTATAGCATTCCTTGTTTTTCCTATATTTCTCCTTTCCCCAACAAACTCATCTAGCAATTCGGCCACATTTGTTTAATAAAGGTGTTTCTCACCAAAACCTTTCTCATCTGCAGGACCGCAGTTACCCTCCTATTTCAGGATAGACATGCACTGTATTAAGTTTGGTATTTATAGGTTATGGGCAGGAAGATTGAAAGCATCCTCCGTTAGCATATGGGAAGTTTTCAGTTCAGCTGAGCTGAATGGATGCTGCATAAGAAATGGAAGATGGGTGATACCTTCAGCAGGTGTAGCAGCAAGCAGCTATAACTAAAAGAAAGGAAAAGCTTAGATTCACCAGGTAAGCTAGTGGCAACAGAAAGAGCTTTTTAGCTATGTCAGTAGGAAAAAAGGTGGGCCCACTGCTAGAAGATGGTTAGATAGTAACAGGTGATGGGGAGAGGGCAGAGCTCTTACTGACCAAAGCAGAACAATTGTCCAAAGGAGGGAGTTGCAACTCAAGGAAAATAAAGAGGATCAGGCTATCATAAACTAATCTTAGGTCTTCAGGATGTCATCTCAGAGCACTTTTCTGCGATCTTGGAGAAATGATGGAGGAGAGATTAATGTTGGGGAAATGGGGTTCCAATCTCCAAAAACAGGGAAAAAGAGCTACATGAACCATGAGTTTGATGTGGATAATTGGACAAGATGTGGAATAGATTACAGGTGGTCCTTACAACAGCGCTGAATGAGTGGTAGTTATGACTGGTCCTCAATGGTCTCGGCATCTCCATGGTCACGTGGTCACCATTTGCAACCTTTGCTGGCTTCCTACAAGCAGTCAGTGGGGAAGCTGGCAGGAAGTTGCAAATGATGTCCACATGATGTCCTCACTTAACAACCCATGTTGATTTGCTAATGGCAATTGGGATTACTGGAATTGCCATTGCTAAGCAGCATGGTCACGTGACATTGCTCTTTACAACTATGTCACTTAGCAACAGCAATTTCAGTCCCAACTGCAGTTGTAAACTGAGGACTACCTATATTAAAAATTCAGTTTGAGCATTAAAAAATAATGCATTGTTTGCCAGGAGTCAACATAGCTCTAACAAGACTACATCATGCCAAAAAACCCATATTTTTTGATAGAGTGACTAGTATAGTCGATCACAGTAATGTCATGGATATAGTGTACCTTGACTTCAGTAATTAATTCACTAAAGACTCCAATGAAATTTTACCAGAGAATATAAAAAAGTGGGCTGGCCTATGCTCTTATTGGATAGATAAGGACCTGGATAAAAAATCCAGGAAGAAGAAGTGGGGTGGTTCCTCTCTATCTGGTGTTGATCAGACAAAATATTACAACCAGTTCTGGGTACCAAATTTTAGGAAAGACAGATGTGTCCAGAGGCAAACAACCAAAATGATAAGGGGTCCAGAAGGAAAAGCTTATGAGGAACAGTTGGGAGGTGCAGACTTTCTGCTGGAGGTTATTTAGACAAAGGCTGGATGGTCACGGTCAGGTATTTTATAGTAATGGATTCCTGCATGACTGCAGGGAGTTTCAGGAGAAAAATGAAGCTTTGGCTAAAATGTGGCTGAATCTGAGGAAGCATCTAAGAATTGTTGCTGTTTATATAAAGCCAGAGTCCAGCCAACCTGTCTAACCCATAACTAAAACTATGGGGAACACCCCCAGGTTCACAAAAACAAAGTATGTGCATGCGTTGACAATCAGGATAGCATGAGGAGCCAATCTGAACAGAAAGCAGCAGATTTTATGCAATTTCTTAAATTAGAATTAATTGGATTGGATGAGAAACAACTTAACTGGAATTCAGTAGTTACAAATCCTCCTCCTGATTCTGTGATCTCAGCAGTTGGCATGTGGTCTCTAATACTCTTGATTTATGCCTTGACTCCTGTTTTCCTTCAGACTTTGTGGCCAATTTCCTGGCTTTTGACCTTTAGCTGTTTACTGACTTTGTGGTCTTTTTTTTTTCCCTGACTAAAAAAGTCTTGTGTATCACTCTGGGGAGGTCAGTTGATAGGTCATCAGCTTACAAAACATCACACATTTACCCTGATGCTGGGAAAGATTGAAGGCAAAAGGAGAAA